GGACCCCCCCCAGCCTCTATAGGAAGGTAAGAGGGGCGGGTGGGACCGATCCGGATCGCGGCCGTCCTTGGAGCGGAGCCCCCGCCCGCTCCCCCTTGTCTCCTGGCTGCTGCGGACCCCCTCCCCTGCCCAGCACGCAAGTCCTGTGGAGACAGAGGCGGTGTCTGCGCTAGAAAATCAAAGGCGCTTAACTGCTTTGATTTAAAAATCAATAGCTAAATGAAGCCGCATCAAAGGGAGCCGAGTTACAATCCACTCACGTGTGCTTTCACCCAGCAGCTCACCCTGCTCCCGGCTGGATGCCAGGCAGCGAAGCCGCATCCCACTCGGTGTGACTCCGAAGCCAGTGGTGTGGGCTTGTCTGCCTCTGAGAAAGCAGCTTGCACGAGGGCCTGGCTCAGGCTCCCCTGGACGGGTGGCACCTAGCAGTGGCTGGGCAGATCCCCCAGTTAGTCATTCAGGTGCTTGGAGCCTCCTGTGCTGCTGTGTCCATGTCCCTGCGTCCCTGATGCCCCTGGTGACTGCAGCCTGTGCTTTGACTCAGTGAAACCCCATCCACTGACACTAGAAAGGGTTGCTTTTGTCACTAGAGAAATGTAAAGCTAGAGAAAGCCATGGAGTTACACGGTGACCAACAGCCCCAGCAGAGATTTCATTTTCATTTTCACCTTGAGTATGGCCTGACCCTGCCTGCAAGGAACTCTGAAGGTGCCAGTACATGAAAGACCAGTCCTCATGACAAATCCACTTCAAACTGGGTTGTGCAGAGCAGTAGGTTCACCTTGGCTGCCTGCACCATTCATCCCGTATCAGTACTGCAAGGGAATCTGGGCCTTGGCTCCCCTCACTTCAATGGCTGAAGCCAAGCTGGGGAGGACTGGGGTATTTTCCTCAGGTGTCAGTGTACCATACAGGCTGCCTTCAGAAGGGAGGGGTAGGAGGCAGGAAGACTGGTCAGGATGGTTCCATAGATCCAGCCAGGTCTTGTCAGAAACTGTGGTTACTGCCAGTTTTCATTGTAACACATACATTCAGGCACTGAGTTACTGCCAAATCCCTGCCTTTGAATCCCTGTTTCTGACTGCAGGACTCTTCTTCCCCTTCCCCACTACTTCTCATCATTCAGCTCCGAGCTGGAAGATTCACTCTCTCAGCAGCTCCACATGTGCCCTCTACTGGTTCTTGAGCCATCAGCATCTCATAGATTTCATAGATAGACATTAGGGCTGGAAAGGACCGTGCAGGATCATCTGGTCCAGTCCCCTGCCCAAGTGCCCGGAAGTCTGCTGGTGTCAAGTGATCCCAGCAACATAAGCATCCAAGTGTATCTTAAAGATGTCTAGAATAGGTGCTTGCACCACTTTAAGTGGGGAGTCCATTCTAGACTCTGGGGACTTGGACAGTAAAAATTTTTTTTCTTATGTCCAGCCTAAAACAGTCTTCCCGGAGTTTGTGACCATTAGACCTCGTCTTCCCTTGGGGTGCCCTGATGAACAGGCATAATCCTAGTTCCTGGTGCACACCCCTTATGTACTTGTAGTCTGCCACCAAGTCCCCCTGAGCCTTTGCTTCTCCAGGCTGAAGAGTCCCCATGCCTCTCAGCCTCTCCTCATAAGACTTGTTCTCTTGTCCTCTGATCATGCACATGGCTCTCCTCTGGAGTCTCTCAAGCTTCTCCATGTCCTTCCTAAAGTGTGGAGCCCGGAACTGGAGGCAGGACTCCAGCTGCAGCCTTACTAAAGCTGAGTACAGCGGGAGGATGACTTCCTGGGTCTTGCTTGAGATTCATTAATAGGTGCAAGCCAGGGTTTTGTTTGCTTTGCTGGCTGCAGCATTGCAATCTCCCAAGGAAGCAGGACCTGCTGCTTTACTCCTCCAGAAGCAGGCTTCTTTCTCCCCCACTCCAGCGTGGGGAGGCAAGGTGGTGACCAATTTTCAACCTCTTCCTGTAGCAGACCCAGTTAGGGGTGGAACCATTAATTTAGAGCAGATAGCTTTTCACACAAAGTCCACTTAAATTGTTGAAATCACTACCAGATTTCACTGCACGGAATATTTCAGCTTGATTCAGAAGGATCATATACTGGTAAGGATAACAAGGATCTCCAGAGTGATAATAGCAAATACTGAAAACTGAAGACAGGCAGCTGTGAAAAGGCTCCTTTTCTTGGGCACAGGCCACTCCCCTCTCCCCATGTCTGGAAGAGTAGTTTTCTGTGGGATCCCTGCAGGGTTTCCTGCACCTGTCCCTGAAGTATCTAATACTGGCCACAGTCAGAGACAGGACACTGGGTGAAATGGACAGAAACTGATAGGAACACCAGAATGGAAGAGACCTCTTATGTCATCAAATCTAGTCCTCTGCTTTCAGAAAGAGGACTATGTCATATAATCCCTTTCATCAGCATATCAAGTTTCATCTTAAAAGTGTTTACGGTTTTTTGCTCCCATTCATCCTATTGCAAGGCTGTTCCAGAAACACAAGATTCCAGAATTAGAATCTTCTAATTTCCGGCCTATATTTATTCACAGTCAATTTATATCCATTTGTTCTTTTGCCCTCATTTTCGTTGAGCTGGCATAGTTCTTCCCTGATGTGTTTGAACTAGGCTGTTCTTCCTTCCTTTATATGTTTGCAGACTAGTCACATCCCCCTAAGTCTCCTAAGACTTTAGGGACATTTTTACACATGCTCTGGGGGCAGGGCACTTTAATTAGAGTGGCTCTGAGAGCCGCTCTAATTAAAGCACCTGCAGCATCTTGTGTATCAGCATCCCCATGCTTCAAAATAGCAGCAGGGGTGCTTTATCTAAAACTTGTGGAAGGAGCTTTAGATAAAGCACCCTGCTGACATTTTGAAGTGCAGGGACTCTGATACACGAAATGTGGAGGCTGACTGGGGTGTGGCAATTGCCATGTTCCTGCAGACTTGGTTAATGGAGACTGCTCCAACACACTGTAATTACAGTGCATTGGAATAGCCTCCTGCCTCATGTACAGGCACCCTAGGTGCTTAAATCCAAAATATGATCCAAGAAAACCAGCTAACAGTTGCTGAACCCTGGAAATGCCCAAAATTCAATGAGTGCTTTTCTTTTCATCCTGCAGTGCCTTTTTTTCACCTTTTCACCCTCATGTTGATGATTCTTTGCACACACAAAGCTGCTCTGGCCAGAGCAATTAGGTACCTACCTACTACCTATACTCTCCTGGGGTCCAAAAAACTCACTGGAACAATACCCAGGTGCCCTGAAGGGCTAGATCCAGTCAATGTGTTCCAAGCCTCTCATAAAAGGCTGGCATAGCTACTTTACTTTTAAATCACCACTGCTCACCTTTTTAATAGCCTACTGGTTAGAGGACTTGCACTGGAAGCAGGAGATGGGGCATCTAGGTCCTTCAAACCTGCAGCTCCCACCTTCCAGAGTGTTGTGACAACCTTGCTATAGTGAAGCACTGGAGTGCACACCACACCTGTTCTATTGAAGCAGGGCTAGTATTCAGAAAATAACCTAAGAACCATGGAGCCCAGAGAGAGAGAGCACAAGTGGGAGTGGGTTCTGTAGCTCAGTGGTGGGGATTGTTCCTGAGAGGGTGGAGTTTGCATTCCAGTCCCTGCTCCCAGGATTATTTCTGTTGTGTGTCCATGGCTGCTTCATGGCAAATGAATTAACAGTGAGGGAACAGGGACCAGGACCCAAGAGAGTATCCCTGGCTATACAAATAAGTGCAACTTGGCAAGTGGTCCAGGTCAGTTTGTGTGACTCACCTGTCTCCCATTATTGCTTACCATTCCATCAGTTTTTTTGTCATTTGCATGCTTCATCAGCATCAGTTTTGTATTTTCTTCCAGATACTGGAATATCTTCCAGATACCTTTTTTACCACTTCTTTGAGGTCTGTTAGTCAACTAGTTGTTATCCTGTTTTATAAAACAAGTTAAACTGATTCTGTATATTGCAATTTTTCAAAATTAGAATGTTGTGGGGTTGAGTCAGATGCCTTACAGAAATGCAGCTACCTTTGTTGACCAATCCTGCTCTTTCATCAAGAAGCAATATCTGGTCTGTTTGACAGGATTTTGTATAAAGCTATGCAGATTGCTATTTCCATCATTTATTGCTTCACTGATTAGCTTCCCATGATTTTTTCTTGGGTTAATGTTAAAGTAACTAGCTGTCATTACTGGACCTTCATTAAACACAAGCACAATAATTTGCTTTTTCTAGATCTCTGGAACTTTTCCAGTGTCCCAACATGTGGTAAAAATCAATATCAATGGTCCAGAGAGCTCCCTGGTTATTTGCTTGAACACTCTAGGCTGCAAGTCACCCAGAGCCACCAACATAAAAAGTTTAATAGCTGATGTTTTACATTCTCCATAATTACTAAGAGGATAAAAAGTATTTAGTTTTCACTATAAAATAGGAATGGAAGAGATGCCATACTGGGTCAAGCCACAGGTCCATCTAGCCCAGTAGTCCTCAACCTTTTTAGATCCAAGGTCCTCACTGGACTCAAGTCACTCCTCAAAAAATGCTAGCTCTCAGCTTTCACTCATTCTGTGTCTACAGAAAAATACTAGAATACTTCTTCTGTTGCAAAGAACTCAGAAAACCCACAACAGGTCAGAATATTTTTGACACTATGAATTCCTATTTGAAATCTCTGGGTTTTTCTTGTGAATCATGCCTACGTGTGCATCCATATTGAGTGGCACCCTTAAAAGTATCTTTTGTCATCCTGGTTGAGAATCACTGATCTAACCCAATATTCTGTGTCTTAGTGCCTGCGTGTCTACATGAGCCGCTGACTGTGCAGTAAGAACTACACAGTCATTTAGTATTTGTATACCCAACTATTAAATGACTGCACAGTAACCAGAGTTACTGTGCAGTAGCATTGCCCAATGGCTTTTAGGTGATTCTGACTGTGCAGTAGCTCATTTCTAGTACACAGTAGTGTCGCATCATGCTTCCTGCCATGCAACACTACTGCACAGTAGTAATAAGCTACTGTGCAGTCAGAGTCTCATGTAGACACGCCCAGTGTCACAGACCAGATGGTAAGGGGAAGAATATTTATGCTTGATTTCCTATCAAGGCTGAGCTATCACTTGCCCCTCTTCCCTTTCAGCTTCCAGCATGCAGACAGCAAAGAATTTCTAATTTGGAAGTTGTACCCCTAGCTATCATGCATAATACTGGTGGATCTATCCTGCGTGAATCTTCATATCCTCTTTTGAACATGGTTAAATTGTTTGCCTCTGCTTTGTCTTGTATATCTTCCACACGTTACTGGTAATTCCACACAGTGTGAAAAAGAACTGCCTAATGTTTGTTTTAAAGCTGCTCTGTAATAATTTAATTGTATGGCCCCTAGGTCTAATTCTAGTTTAGATATGGCCATCCTACTCCTTTCCAGATACAACAAATATGTATTGAATCTTTTTGTCTTTTTTGCATCACCCTGCCATACCTATTATTTGAACTATGAGCTAGGATTTAATTTGTTCCAGATATCTTTAAACATTCCTATTATCATTAATTCTGCTAGCCATAATTTTTTCAATATATATAGCTCCCTCATCAGTTGTCTACATTTCCTAATTATTATCTATACATTGCTATCAGCTTCCCCAGTTTTCCAATGCACATAGTGAATTTGCTTTGCTCTTGTCTTCAATTATTTTGCCCATCTCAATCTGCCAGTGTGTTCATCTTGTACTCATCCTTCCTCTATGCTGCTTGCAATGATTTCCTAACATCTGTATGCCAAGCATCCATTTTCTTCTCATTCCAGACCTATTTCTTTTGCAAGGAGCAGAAAAGCCAGTGAAGCAGATCAATGTAGCACCATCAGAAGCCCTTTTTCAAAGTAACAGACAAGGAAGTGTAAAATCGGTGTTCCCATTTGTGCTTGTTTTTGATAGATTAAGGTGGTCTGGGAGGACTACCTTTGCCCCCAAAATAAAGATTTTTTTTTAATGTGATTGATTTTCACCTTAGAAATCTTAGGAACATCAAACTTGATTTTTCCTGATTTTGCTCGGAAATGTGGATCAGGACTTTTCTCAGCCCATCTTTGATGGTGCACAATGTTGAGCATTCTCATGTGTGGGTATTCACTTTACAAAGGCAGGAATAAAAATCAAGACAATTTTCAATAGTCTCCATCTTAATCTAAACACAAAAATTGGATTGGTCTCCTTGGATTGAATTAGTTGGATGAAACCAGTGCAAATTCCTGTGTGTATACCTTTGTATGTTTAAGAATTCAACTTGAGTTTTTTTGGTTTTGCCCACACACCCTAGAACAGGAATAATTGAATTTGTTGTAATTCACATATTTGTTATTTTTGTGCAGTTCTGTGTACAGATGCTCTTATTTTGGATTAAGGATATCCTAATTTTAATTCAACTATAACGTCAATAAATTTAGTATCCTGCTTTGATTGTAATTTATCCAAAATGACTGTCCTCATACAGATAGGCATTGACTTAGCAAAACTGCAAATTACATCAGGTTTCATTCTTCCAGTTGCCATTTAGGGATAAAATTAGCCTCTGTTTCTTTCTAGCCTTCACCTCTTTTACTTTTCCCACAGTCCATCAAGCCCCTGGTTGAGAAGCGCCGCCGTGCTCGGATCAATGCCAGCCTGGAGCAGTTGAGAAGACTCCTTCAGCAGAACCCAGAGAAGCAGGTGAAGTCAGCCATTACGAAGTAATCATATTTCACCTTCTTTGTCAGCATCTCAAAACTGTTAGAATTGGAGACAACCCGTTGGGGAACTTCAAAACTACCAAGGCATGGGCGAGATCAACACTGTCTTCCTGAAACTCACTCACTAGTTGATAAACAAGTCAAATCCCGCCCTTGCTCCTGTCTCTGATTTTCTCCTTCTGTCTGCATGGTATAGGATAATTTTCTAATTGACCCCTCTGCCTTTTTGATCCCTTTCCCCAGGATGCTAGAGCCCTGTCACGGCTGGAGAAGGCAGAGATCCTGGAGATGACTGTACAACAGCTACAGAGACTGAAGAAACCAGGTACATTATTTTTATAGTTCCTAATACTCTCCTACCTCAGGCCATGGGCCGAGGGCCTAGAGAGAGAGAGGGTCTGAGCCTCATAACTGGGTTAGGGAGTGGTCAACCACAAGCTGAATCCAGACAGAACTTGGTTTACTACCAGATAGACACACATAGAGAGGACCCAGATCCCCACTCTTTAGCTCAGTTGTATCCATTGCAACCAGTTATGCCTGTGTAAAGCTGCTGCCACTGCCTTTCTGCCCATTTCCTGTCAGATGTAGGAGTTCCATCCCTGAGCAGAAGGTATTTGAATTGGCAATACATGGAAGCATGGGAGCAGAGGTGAGGCCCTTACTTAGGAAGGGGAGCTAAGGAGTTCCATAGTTCTCTCTTATACTGATGCTTTCTTCCCCTTCTCTCCTCAGACATTGCTGCTTCCAAGGATGGCCAAGATTTTGCTGCTGGTTACTGCCATTGCCTTAATGCTGTCAGCAACTTCCTAAGCTCAGATGGCTCTTCACTGAGTCAAAACATAAAGTCTCAGATCTTGCGCCAGCTGGAGGATGCATCTAAGGTCAGATCCACTGTTGCCCCGAACCAGTCTCCTAAAATCTGGCAGCCCCAGGAGGCTAATTTGCCTTCCACTAAGCCACATCTACGCCAATCCTCAGCCTTCCTTTGCGTAACTGCTCCTGCCTTGCTGCCTCCTGGAACCACTATGACCTTGCCAGCTCTAGAAACCCAATCCCGCCCCAGGGAACAGATGTCTCAAAGTCCTGCTTTGGGATCACAGCCACCCCTTCTTCCATCACTCTCCCGGACTCTTACAACCCCCCCTGCCACACCGCAGATGTGGAGACCTTGGTGAACCACAACCTGGAAGACTGTACCCACCTGGTCTACTTACTAAGCCAGAATGGAAAGCGAGGGTGCATGGAGCCACCTTCTTCAGCAAAGGAGGATCTACCCCCAATCAACCATATCTGGGGCACTGTGAATACCTGCTCCCGGTTCTGCACCTTGTTACCACTAATGGAAAGTTGGTACATAGTAAAGGTCTGCTGCAACTGGCTATTCCCACAGATGTTCTAGAACAGGACAGCATCTAATGAACAATTGTGGAACAATCCTTCCACAGCCAGCACATAGCAGGGCAGTCAGTGGAAAGGAACTTCATAGCCCTAGGCTTTGAGGTGATGCACTGACTGCTATCGTTTGGCCAGTGCTTAGTCCCTGTCAGCATAGCACTGATATTGTTTAATAGCATGAAGATATTGAAGAGTTTCAGTAAGATCCTGCAGCAGCAAAACCTGAAGTATTACTGCCTTTAGTCTATGCCAAGGAAATTTATGAAAGAATCCTCTGACCCAGCATCTACAATAACAAAAAGACTGAACTCAACATCCCAGGAGGTCCCGTCCAGCCTTTGTCCCTAGATATGCTACTTTTTATAATTCACCCTGTAGCCCTTTGGTTATGGGAGGAAGATAGCTAGTCTCAATATCACCACACCCAGATGCAGAAAAATGGTTGGAAATTAACTGAAGTTTTTCCCCTGTGATATGTAGGTACCCCACAGGATTCCTCAGTTGATCATAGTTAACCCATAATAAAGACCAGCCAAACGTATTCATTTATATATAAAAGTACAGCAGTGCAAAAGGTGTTGTTTTTTTTTAAACAAAAAACCCTAAAACATTTACATCTTGTCATTGAGCATTGTTTCTAAGTTAGCACTAGGAGGAAAGAGGAGTTGGAAAACAAAAGAAATCCATAAGGTTCTCTCTCAGATCTATTTGCCAAGAAAGTGAAGGGAGGTGTTATTGGAGGGAAGAGGGTTGTTAGGGCAACAGATCTGCAGCAGGCAGATCAGTTCCCTCGGGACAGATTAAAGGAGCCAGAAAAAATGACCCAACTCCATTTTCTTTAGAGCTTTTGTTCCTTTATTCAGTAGACATCTAGTTACAAGTTTCAGAAATTAAAAAAAAAAAAAAAAAAAGTGAGGGAGTTGATTGGAAGGAGGGTTCAACGGGTTACAAACTGGTCCAGCTCTTGTTCTGCTCTACCTCCCATATGCACATCCTTTCACCCTCCCCATACTGTAACAGGGAGCAACAGAGGAAGTGGGCTTTCCTCTCACTAAGGGGACTAACAGGGAGCCCAGGAGAATTTCTTCACAATCATTTCAGTTCCAGAACCAGCCAGAGCCAGGCACAGAAGAACTGGACAGGATGAAAAAAAAAAAAAAAAACCCTTGGTACTGGCCCTTTGCACCCACCAATACTGGCAGAAGTAACAGAGCCAAAAGGGAGATCGGAAAAAAGAAAAGGAGAAATTGAGGCAGGGTTATAAACGTGTCCACTGTACAACATCAACATCCCCATGCCTCCAGCAACACCCCTACTGGGCAAAGAGACTAGTGCAGAGGGTTAGTTGCTTTATTCAATTCTTAAGAGGATGGGGGAGTTTAATATTAAATTCAAAAAGGGTCCAAGCGGTGTTTTGAAGGGGCTTCATCAGTTTCACTGTCTGTACCTGGGGAAGGTGGCAGAAGAGAGAAAGCACAAGTTAGAGGTGTATGAAAAGGGGGAGCACGAAGAGAAACCCAACCAACCAAAAACATTGCAATTTAAAATTCAAATTTATGAATCATGCCAAGTTCTAGACCAAACCCCAGCTGACCCTCTTTGGACCATTGGGAGGAGGGCAGAACCCAGCACCTTGAAACCCAAACTCTCTCACAAAATCCAGTTCATTTATAAAAATAGGTGCAGGTCCTACAAATAATCTCCCAAATTTAATGGAGTGGCATCTGCAAACACTAGCTACTCAGCTTCCTAAAACCTGCTTCTCCATTGCCCTGTACTGTTTAAATCTGCAGCTGCATGTTGAACAATACTAGGGGAAGACCACAAATCCCACCCATTCTGAAGCACACATGGAAGAGCTTCTGGGGGGGGGGGGGGAGAAATAGGTGGAGGCATCTTTGTTAGTCTCCCTCCCTTCTCGTCTTGATAGTCCACACAACTCTCTTCCCCAAACATGGGGTCATCTCACCAATCCCCATGCAGTTTGGAACCATATACCCAATTTTGAGATTAGCAAAAATAGGATGCAAAATGGCAGAGGGAGGGGAGAAGGAGTCCATTACTGGTCCTTAGAGTATGCTCCCCTTCTCTGTTTAACCCTCACCTCAAAGCACCCGTTTGGGATTGTGAAAATGAGATTCAAGGGGATGAGGTAATCACAGTGGGCAGCGGAAAAAAGATAAAACTTACAAGAAAGCATAGGTAGATGTGGGGGTGATCATACTGCACCCCCACACAGTCTGCTCTGGATTCACCAGTCATACCGACGGGACTGTCTGGATGGAGAATCCTCAGGACCCTGGATAGCAAGACGTGTTCCTTCAGCTCGGCGGCCACTGCTGCCTTCATGACGTCGATAATCTAGCCCTCGTTGTGGCCGGTACCGGGATGTCTCTCGTCTCCACTCATCATTAAATGCAGCTGCATCATCTACATTGAGGAAGAGAAACAGCTGACTCAGATTGGAGGGCAAGTTGGGATGTGGAGGTCTAGTGAGCAGGGTGTAGACAGCACTCACTCTCATCCATGTTTATGTAATCTTGCCTCTCCTCCTGGTCCCCTGTACGATGATTCCTTGAGCGCTGCATGATGTGTGCTCGCTCCCCAATGTGGTGCCCAATTGACATTTGCTCTAGGCCACTGTCCGAGTCCCGCACAGTTCGTCTCGTCTCGCGGATCTGAGGGTGGAGAGCAGTGCAGGCTCAGCCCCTCACCTCACCCTCCTAGTCTCCTCTAGCAGCCTCCAATTCCTCCATGTGGCATCCTAGATGTCCCATCTCCTGTCCTGCTTCCCCCCCCGCCAAACCACCACCAAGCTTCTTTCTACTGCTTTCAGAATGGCAGACATGTCAACAAGGGAGAAACAAGCTCCTTACTTGGCCTGGGACACAACTCATTGAGTCATGGCCTTTTGAGAACTATGAATCAAAGCCTGTGAAGAAGTGCTGTGGGCAGCCAGGGTCAAACAGTGACCAAACCAACTGCCCGGTGCCCTGCCTGGTATTAGGTATGAAAAGACAAGTCTCCTCACCCCACCAGGTGCAGAACGCATCTCTGAGGTCTCCTGATAAACTTTGGGGCCATCACCCAGGTTGGAATAGGAGATAACTGTTGAGGAGGTAAATGTCTGACAGTTGGCACCGCTTGTCATATGCTCCTGAAAAGGTGGAGAAAGGGGAAGGAAAGAGACCAAGAGACGTGAAAAATATCAGCTTTTCCTAGGTTTGTCTACTGGGGTCAAAATAATGCTGAGAGAGCTCACCCCATGGCAAATACATCCTCCCATTAAAGTCACCTTTGTTTTTCTGAAAGGAGGGGGCCATCCTTTCTCTCTGCATCCCTCCTTGATCCCCCCCTTTCTTCTGCCCCCTAGAAGAAAGGCACACCCCATGCCACCTTTCTATTTCTGCCTCTGCTCTGCAAAAAGAAGGTTACTCCCTACATTGTTCCAAGTTGTAGCCGAGGCCATATTTACAGCTCAGGCAGGGGTAATGTCATAGAAGCAGCAATAGCCCTGGTGGGAAAGGTGGAAAATAGGAGACACTGGATGGCAGAAGTGATGTCAGTGTGTGCTTGTTAATGCAAGAGAAATTTCAGAGAAGGTTCTTACCATGTTCCCAATCATGTCGTTCATCATTCCGAACATGTCCATGAAACCACCTGCCTGGGGAAGGGAACGGATAGAGAAAAGGTAGGAAGGAGGAATGGAGTCAGGTCAGAAGGGCACGGGGGAAGAAGAGAAGAATGAACAAAGTAAGATGCACAGAAATGACTACTCTAAACTAGGGCTTTCTTCCCACCTTAACAGAACAGGCCAGATCTCAGGACTATAGAGAGCTCCCCACTCAGTCTCTCCTTCCCAAGATCTCAGACCTTCTAGGTGTAATGGGGCTCTTTTATCACTCCCCTGATGGATGCTCCCATTTCCCTGTAAGCATCCAACTGACATCAAGTTTTAGCAAAATTTAAAGCCTAGGGTATACCGAGGCAGCCAGTTCCACAGATTCAAGATGCAATATGATAACAACATTAATTTAACAGCTTTGATTTGCTCCCCTTCAATTTGGCTGAGCAGGCTCTTATTAAAGGAATTAAAGGAGAACAAGATTCAGGTACTCTTGTTGGCCTTTCCTGTCCCATCCATGTTTTTTAAAGTGCTCTTTTTTAACTGAACTATTCTAAGATAAACACTCCATCTTCTCAACCTCTTCATATGGTAGAGTCTTGAGAGACAGGGATGGTTCTAGTTTCCCGTGCTCTATTTCTGCTATATCCTTTTTAGAGAGGTGGCCAGAAAGGAATGCCTTCCAGGTAAGGGTGTCTCACCAATTTACCTTGGATCACTAGAACAGCTCCCCAATTATTTTCCATCTCATTATTGTGTATGTTAAAACTTTGTTGATTTTTGTGACAGCCACTGCCCACTGTGAGCAAAGATTTCTGTTGTTCCTCTTTAATGATGTCCAGGTCATTTCACTGCACAATTACAATTCCCAATTCAGATTTGGCACCTGTCCTTGGAACCTAACAAACAGCCCTACTCTGAACTTCTTGTAGTGCACTGTACCTGTGACTCTCACTCAAGATCCTAATTCCAAAGGTCATGCCTGCTCTTTCTAGACATCAGTATACCACTTTTATTTATTAGTTTGTGGTACTGTACCTCAGCAGAGTCATGGCTGAGATTAGGGCCCTATATTACAAGTATAAACATTTACGAAGACACATTCTCTACTCCAAAAAGCTTGTAAGCCAGAAGAGAATAGACAAACAAAGGATAGGAGGCGAAGAAGAGGCACAGAGAGGAACTAATTCTGGGTTCTAGTTCAGTTCCTGACTCACTGGCCCCCATCCAATAAAGGCCTTCCCCCAAGCAAGACTCTGGTGTCTTTTGTCCTTCCTGTGATCACTGCAACTGGATAGCTGGTAGCCTCACTTAGAGGTAGCTGCTTTTTAGTTCTGCTGGCTGTACAACTTCAGGATAAAGCTACGTGCTGGCAGGGTTCGAATTATACTTTGACTCTTTGGGGGGGGTCTGCAAAAAAAATTAAACCGGTTCATTGATTAACAAGTCCACCTAAGTGAAGGAGAAATCCGATCAGAGACACCCCTCCAGGTTATGATTTTCAAGTCTTAGAGGGGGCTCTCGTTTCTTATGGGGGTCCAACCCCCCTTCCCCCCCTTAATTTGCACCTTGTATGCTGGGGAACTGAGAGTCTGGATGCTGCAGTCTGGGGAGGGGCCCCAAGCTGCACAGGGAAATTGAAGACTTACCGTTCCCAGCATCCCAAAGGGCGAGATGGCTACTGCCTACAGGGGGCAATAGAGAAACAAAATGAGAAGTGATTCCTCAGCATTCAACTCCAGGATTATCTCTTTCACAGGAAGCAGAGCAGGAGACATAGCAGCTGCCCAGGGTTTGAGAGAACTTGCCACACCAACTCCTGTATGTCTCCCCCCAGAAAACAGTTCTGTTCCATGGAGAACAGAGAGAGAAGTTGCACTTCTACATTTCTTCTGGTAATTTAGGCTTTGGGCAACCATGCCCCCCCCCCACATTGAGGCCATGGAACAGAGCTTTCCAATGAAGGGGTGCAGTGCTTCCAGTCTGGGGGGCTTTTCCCCTCTCCTCATTCACAAAAGGAGAGCAGCCCACCCTAACTAGAAGCAAGGCTTGGGAAGTGGGGAAGGGGGGGGG